TTCTGACTACTGCATTCTTGGCAGCATCAGCAATCTCAGATTTTTCCTCCTCATCACAAGACCAGAATACCTTTCCAAAGACTGTGAGTTTCTTCACAGGAATGGAGATAGAGGGACTCTACCTCTATGAATTACTGCTTTTAGATGGCCTATATATCTGCTTTGCAGCACATCAAAGAAAATCCTTTTCTCTGATGCACTCATGCTATCTGTACCTGGCCTGAAGTCCCTTTCCTGAATTCTTGAAAGCCACAGAATGTCACAAGACACATTGTCCAAATGCTGCAGGTGCCCTTTAAGTCTCCAGCTCATCTGCAGCTGCAGTAGTCTCCCCTCTGTAAGGAAAGAAAGGGAGAAGAAGCCTGCCATTATGCTCTGCTCCATGTCACCATGCCAAGGATTATGTCCACTTCATGTCTCTGCCAGTTTCATGATCAGGCAGTTAACTTTTTAGCTGTTGATTTTTTTTTACAAGGTGTAGTCAGCCTGGAGCGGTTAGGGAACTGAAGGCCAGATTCTGTGAATGCTTCTGAGTACAGAAGGATACTAGAACAACCAGAAAGGCTCTTGGTCTGTATGAGAGGTATTTTGACTAGGGCCAGGGGGATCTACTGCTGGAGGGACTTGATGAATCCATATTTTAAAATAAGCAAAAAAATAAGTAACTTTATGGAGTCAATGTTCTCCAGGAGGGCCTCTGTTCAATTCACTGCTCTGAACTGGGCAGAAGGAGGATTTGAATTCTCCCACGCCTTAAAGGAGTGTCTTGTCCACCATGCTAAAGAGAAGAAAGAGTCCCCTAAAGAAGAGGAATAAGAAGGAAATTCTCCTTCTCAAACAAGAGAACATTGCTGTTTTCCCCTGAGTACTTTGTAAGAACCTGTCTCAGCAAGCCATAAGGGTTTATTTAGCATCCCATGGAACAGATTTTCAGCCAGTGTTAGTCTGTACGTAGCCTCTTGTTCCTCCATCGCCTTTAGAGTTTTAAACATGGGTTTCTTACCTTCTGGTTTCTGCTATGAGTATCATGAGTGTACGGAAGACTGAGTCTTGATCTGGAAGTCTAGAGCACTGGGGAGACAATATTACCTATGTGTTTGCAGAGATCAGTGTATTTAGAAAGAAGGCATTTAGTTCTGCAATATGCCATAGGTTGTTTATCATTATTTGAATTGCAAATTAACCTGCCTTGCTTCAGATGTGTTTTGTTTGGGCATCTCCATGTTTATCAGATCATTGTGGCAACTGTTTTATATTCATTTTGTTTCTTCACTAACAAAGCTTCTCTTGTTACACCTAAGCATAATAAAGAAAATAGCCCAGTACATAGGAGAAGTTATGGAGGACTCAAAAGATAAAGTCCAGGAAAATCTTCTGGCCAATGGAGGTAGGTGCTGTGAATGTGGATATTTTAATGCATTGATGCTGCCTGTGTTTGCTTCAGAATATGAACATGTAGAATTGAAACACTCAGACATTAGAAAGGACATCAGCAACATTTTTTAAGAACATGTCTAGCCAGCTCCCATTTTTCTCAAAAGTTAACAAAAGTTTTATCCAGCACCAACTTTGCTTCCAGGACGGTGTTCAACATCTAGTACTGAGCTAGTATCTAACACCAGAGCTGAGGAGTGAAGAGGAAAGCAGGAGACATCCTTCTTCACTCCTAAAATGACCTAGCACCTTTCTGTGCCCTGTATAGGCTTGATCTCTTACAGACAGCTAAATCTCCTTCTGTATGGCTGCATGACATCTGTCAGTGATCCGTTAGTGGTTTGCCTTCCCTCCTATGGATGGGAAATTGGATGTTACACATGCTCATTACAGACTTGTAAAATGACACTTTTAAAAAACTAACAGTGCACACTCCATCACTCTTTGATTGTCTGCAGTGTTGTACTTCAGATCTGAATGAGTAAATGATGGGGAGGAAGTTCTTGTAGAAAAGTCCACCTTGCATGACTTAAGACTGACATTTGATGAGTGCCACTGCTTGACAAGTACAATAATCCCACTTACTGTGTTTCAGGGCTAAAGGATAATATGAAATGTCTCAAAAGTATGTTGAGGATTGATGATTGTGGTGGTGTTACAAGCATGCATTTGTGTGTATTAGTGCTAGAGACAAGTCTTGGTCTGGTTGTAGAGATACAGTGATCAGGTTACGATGGATTTCTCAAGTAACAACCTCGTAGCTTGATCACGATATCCCTATGACTTGAGAAACAACAGGTTTCACTTATTTCCTTTGTTTCCTCTTTTTATACCATTCTCCTTTCCTGTCAGCTCTGCTTGTGTTGTAATAGAAGGACATGGAAACTACTTGTGTGTGTTACTGATTTCTGTCCTCTGTCTGGATTTGGTCATCCAAACAAATCATATTAAACTAAGACACTAATGTTTTGAAGATTATTGACTGTATTTTAAAAAATTGAGTCAGCTTTAGTATAACTCCATTCCTTATAATGAGCTCAAACCAAAGCTAAATGGGAAGCACAACAATTTTGAAGAATTAAGTGTTTTGAAGGGAAAGTATTTATTATTGCCTCTTGGAGCTGGGTGAGTAAATCAGAATTACAAGAGATTCAGGCTGTGGGGTTCCTGGGCAGCTGTGAGAGTGTTGGGGTAGGTAGGAAGCATCTCTCCTGGATAGGCAGCTATGTGAAGTCTTTTAGAAGTGACTTGACAGGTTCCATAAATGAGGGGTGCCATTCCAGGAGCATCAGGGTGCTTGAACTGCTTGGTATTTTAAGCCCAGTTCTGCTAGTGTGTTCAGAGTAGTTTGTGCCATCCCTAAGATCAGACTGCTTAACTAAACTGCACCAGTGCCAGAGCACTGCTCAGGAGTGAACTTGTAAAATGGGCTGAGAACTCATGCTGTGCTTAACTGCCTAACATTTGAATTCTGCTGAGATTCAACGAATGCAGGGGTAGAAAGGGCATGTGTAGGTCTTCAGGGAACTTTCATATCTCCTCAACTATAAATAGGTTAGTGTCTATCTTTAAGGAGCCTGTGAATACACTGTTCCTCTGCACAGGCCAGTAATACCATGCTCTTCGCAGGTTTCATTCCCATTGAATTTAGCAAAGCCTAAGCAAGAAAGCTTGGAAGAGAGGCAGCAGGGTGAAATCCTTATGTCACATACCCTGTGCTGAAAAAGCTCCATGAACTTTGTCGCTCAAGTATTTTTGACCTCCCTGCCTTCCCCCCAGAGACCATGAGCAAGCACTGCTGGAGAACTGCGCACACAGGAGCTGTGTGATAGCTCTTCCTGCCTTCTGCAGTTTTGCCCCCTTCCCACACGCTCCATGTACAGGAGAGTTTGCTGATTCCTGGTCAGACCTTAGCAAGAAGGGTTGGATCTTTGTCTCGTGACTCCTATCCATCAGATGTGGGGAAGGTTTATGCAGCTGTGGTTTTCAAAGAAAGAGGCGGAGAACACCATCATGCCAGTGCTCTCCGTCTCCTAGGCAGTTTATCTGTTGATAAGAAGCCTGTTTCCTCCTAACATAAGACTTTCCATGCTTTGGAAATCTAATAGGGTAAACTGACTCTGTTGTGGGGTGAGAGAAGCCCGTGGAAAGGATAGCGCTCTCCTGCCAAGGGTATTCAGTATCACACGAGATGGGGTAGTACCCTCAGCCTGGTAGTATGGCAATTACAGAACTTTCCACATTCCTTCTCATGCATCTTGGTTCATAAAGTTTTCCCCACACCCTGGAAGTCCAGCCCACAAGGAATTGTGCTCAAACTTCACTGTGGGAATGAATTAACTCTCCGGACAACATAACAAAGAGCACTGAACGGCCCCAGCATGCCCCTCTGTTTACTTGGGACCTTGAGCTTGTTTTCTCCCCCATCTCCCCAGAGCACCTTCCCAGATATTCGCCATGTTTACCCTCCTGATCTGGAAGAAAGCCCATCCTGCAGGTGACAGTGCCTCTGGCTTTTTTTTCTAGATATTGACACCCTGCCTGCTGCCTTCCTCCAGCCTCCCTAACCTGCAGGGGGACAGTCCCAGCCCCGCTGCTTGTTGTGGCAGGATGTGTGACCTTATCCATCCCATAAAGTTGCCAAAGAACACTATCTAGGGGCATGCTTGGTGTCCTAAAGGCTCTCAGGACTCAGCCAAAGAGCTGTCTGATTTCATGAGCTGCTAGAGGAGAATTAGGAGAATTCTTTATTTGGTACCATAATGTAGCAAGCCTTTATGGTTTCTGGTGTTAAGGAGCCTTGGTCTTCAGAGTAAAACAGCATGATTCTGTCCTAGGAGCTGGGTGTCATATGTGTCATCTCCCCTCAATTCTGGGAAGAAGCCATGGCTCCCCATGGTCTGAGGGTGCCTTGTTTTGGGGAGCTGCATGCAAAGGGCCTTGCTGTGAATTTCTGTTGTTGGATGCTGTGACTGGATTTATCCATTTAGAGAAATACCATATGGCTTTGTGTGAGGTGGGGAGCTCTGTGTGCAAAGTCAATGAGAAATTCCCCATCGCACTTGAATTTGTTTGATTTCTAGCGAGCGCTTGACTTAATCACAGAGAAGTGGCATCAGCTATGCTCTTAATATCTTTGAATTAAAGATAAAGATAAACTCTCAACAACCCTGAGTATTACTGCTCATCCTGGGCACAAAGTATTTTTCTGATAGGTCTTGCTGGGATTAAGTTCAGGCATATTGCGTGTATCAGTCAAAACTGAGGTTATGTGAAGCTGTTTCTGCTGTAAGGAATGGCTGCACTTTGCTGTGTCCTGACGATACAGCTAATTGTACAGTAATGCTTGTTCTATACGGTTAGGTGTAATGCAGAAAAGATTTCTTGTTCAATTCCTAAGTTTGGGGATGTTTAGAATGGTGACTAGATTGGACATACGATCTGTGCGGATTTGATCTAGATCAAATTTCTATGAGGTAGGCCTCTGGTTCACACCCATCAGTAATGTCAATCAAAATTATACCTAGGTTATAGCTTGGGACTACTACCCAAACTTTGACCTGCCATCTGGTAAGCTGTCTGCTTTAATGCATCTCTTTGCACTTTCAGTTGACCTAATTAGCTACCTGACACGGTTTGAGTGGGACATGGCCAAATATCCCATAAAGCAGCCTCTGAAGAATATATCAGAAGCGTTAGCAAAGGTAAATTGTACTCTGAATTTTAAGATGTCAGCATGGGGAAACGTCTTTTTGGCAGGTTTTGGTCCCTCCTCTCATGGCAGTCAATGGGAGCTTTGCCTTTGGTTTGGGCAGGAACAGGCTCAGAAGCACACACTTTGTGCTGAAACAGTTGATGTTATTTTAATTTCTACTGTAATAATAATGATACACATATTTAAACCTATCCAGTCTGTAAGTATATGGCACTTTATCAGATTTATTAGAGTACATTGACATGCTTTCTGCACTTTAATCCCCTTCATTGTAATATTTCATTGGTTTTATATACTGCCATATTGTTCTCCATTTTGGAGTTTTTTTTGTGAAATTGTTGGCCTGACATTAAATCAAACACATTGCAGGCTGGATGAATAACTTACACTGTCAGTCCATTCAGGAAGGCGTCATGTGTTGTTCAATATAGATAACAAATGAAACCGTGAACTTGCTCCTTAGGTACAGCTGTAACACACACAGCAACAGCTAACTGAATCTGACTTTCTGCAGAGGCCTTTGCCACAGGGGAGCTCTGACACCGGCTCCCTCTTGGCCACAATCAGGTAGTTTTACGAGGGGCTGACAGCTGTGTCCTTGCATTAAGGTGCAGAGGTAGCGGGAGGCGGGTGAGGACACCACCTCAAGCACTGAGTTGACTCATTTTTTTTACTTTGTTTTAGCAAGTGACTCAGATAGAAACAGACCTAAAGACCCGATCAGCTGCATACAACAACATTAAAGGAAATTTGCAAAGCCTGGAGAAAAAAACTGTGTAAGTGTAGCACATGCCTGTTCGCATCTGGAATGCTGCATGGCTGAACTGAGGGCAGTGCATGCTCACACCCATTGCTGTGCTGTGGACCATGTGTGTTCTCGTAAGAACAAATTTTTTCTGACTTTGGGGCATGCTGAGCATCTACAGACCCAGCGAAAGCTGGGGGAGAGCTGGTGTGATCTGCATGTCTCAAAATCAGCTCAGGGAGATGGCAGTTCCTAGCACGATTTTATTGGCAGTGTGAGCAGACAGTCTTGGAAAGAGTCAAATCCAAATGCACTGTATTGTTCTGGTGAGATTTCAGGGAGTCAGAAATTAGATGAGCTGCGTCAGCTGGTGGATTTCTTTGCAAGACAGAGCTGTTTCCTATGTTCTGAACAGCATTTGCAGAGCTCCCATAGGAAACAGCTCTGTCTTGCTTGTTCCTGCACCTCACCAGCATCCCACTTACATTTTTCTTTTCTTTGTTTCATTCTGTTGGTCCAGGTAATGCCCTGTCAGGGCTTCCCAAATGTTCTCTCTCCTGTCTTCAACTGCTTATGGTCTTTACCTATGTCAGTGCTCATACCTGGATTTTTTTCCAGGGTATCACTGGGGAGAACAGTAAATTCCAGTAAGTAGTAAAGTTAAAGCAACTTAGATGATGCTAAAAACCTGCTATCGCTCCTGGAGGCCTGCTCAACACGGGGACTGCAGTGCCCACGAGGGTCAACAGAGCCATATCACAGTTACATCTCCCCCTCCCTCTGCTAATGTTCCTGTCTCCGTGCCTCACCACCGCCAGCCAGCACCACTGGCCTGTGCTTCCAGCTTGGTATAGACAGTGTTAGACACATTTGTCTCAGGCTGCGTGCATGTGGATAATCATGGGCGGAAGGGACAAGGGTACATCGGCTCCCATTTCCCTTTTCTCGGCACCATTCATATTCCCAGCCCACTCCTGCAGCATCTTACCAGCTTCCACATCAGCTTTAAGCACCTGAAGAGAGGCAGAAGCTCTGTGTGGGGAACACGAGCAGTGCCAGGCCTCCAGCAAGGTGATGAGGGAGAAGAATGGAGACCTTGTGGTCCAGGCCTATCTTCCTCTCACCATCCTATCCACCTTTAAATGCTGGCATCTCTGGTGTCTACCAGTGCCAGTTAGCTTGGGTTGAACAAACATCTAATGAGATGTTAGTGGCCAGTTAATTAATGTTTAGACTGGCACAGCGAACCTCAAACCAAAAACTACTGGTTTAGGTCCTTCTTCACTCCTGCCCAGTGACAGGGAAGGCAGCTTCTCTCTTCCCATACACACCTACACAGCCTTGCCTGGCTAGCCCCAGCCATCTACGCTTCCTAGGTGTGCAGCACTAGTGGGACTTAATGTCATCAAGTGGGCTTAGACTGTGAAGAGACCCCATCTGACAGATCCCACCTGCCCACGAGACTGCTGCTCCCACTTCAGCTGGAGGTATCTCTGTGTGCTTGTCCACAGCAGCCCAGGTATGCCAGGGTTGCTTTTATGGCTTAGGTCCATACTAGCACTGCTTACTCTGACTGAGGCATGGTCACACAGGCAGCTCAACAGGCAGCCCTGAGAAGGCAGGTGCCTCCCACAAGATGCGGCAATGACTGGGAGCAGGGGAGTAACTTCAGGTGTGCACTTCCCAAGCATCTACAAACTTACTGTAGAAACAATAGCAGCAGAATGGTGTGATTTCACATAAAGGGCATAAGCTAGCCTAATGCTAGTCACCAGTATTCTGCCATTAGTACTAGTTGCTTTTTTATTCTTTTTAGTTGCAGTAAAAATAAACTACATGTCCATTTTAGAAGTGTAGATGTGTCCTTTAGCCACCTTCTTCCTGGCCTTTTACCCCAATACACACTACCAGCAACTATACCCACAGGACAATACCTCCAGTGTGTTGCTGCTGGGTCCCTGCTAACGTTATTTTTTTGTCGTCTTCACCGTAGGGGAAATCTGCTGACTCGGACCCTAGCAGACATTGTGCATAAAGAAGACTTTGTTCTGAATTCCGAGTATCTTATCACACTGCTCGTCGTGGTGCCAAAGTAAGGCTATAGTGCGTGCACTGTGCTCAATGTGGCATTGAGTTTCAGGCCTAAGCGTTGGATCCAGGCGATACTGGGTCAGGTTGGGGCAGCTCATCAGTGCGGTGGCTGGGGCATGGGTAGAGCTGTTAACTGAAAGAACAGTTGCTGCCAAGGGTGGTGCTAGCACAAAAGAAAGAGACAAAGACTGTTCCAAACTCAGAGCGGGACAGAAACGGGATGTAGGTTTTTGACTGTCGTAGAGTGGATTCTCAAACAGCCTTCTAGCAGGAATAGGAGGAGTTAAAAAAAAGAGAAGAACAGATTCTTACTGGAGCTTAGCCAGCTTATAAAAGGAATTAGACCAGTCAAACTCACAAGGCTGCTGCTGGTGTATTCGTAAGTGCCTGCACGTAGGATGAGTGCCATGACCATCAGTTGTGAAGTTATGCGATGTCCTTCTCAGAAGCCTACACAAAACTTTTCCTCTCCAGATAGCCCTGTCCCAACACACACACATACAGTACCATCACTTTTCTGTCTGTGAAAACCATGGTACAAAAAGCTATCTGAGGTAAGTTTGTTGAGCTTATTATCTGTACATTATTTCACGTTCCCCTAAAAACAGACTTCTCGCTTTGCAAACTCTTACCATCCCCTTGACCCATTTCTCCCAGTGCTGGCTCTTGCCATGTTTGCGGTGTTGCACCAGATCAGCTCTGGGATTGCACATAGCAGATGTACCACACCTACCCATGGATCAGGGGCAGCTTGTGCAGAGGTCCTGGAGCATGGGACACTGTGTGGCATCCTGGAAGTATGTGCCAAAAGCCATGTTCTTCCCACCATCAGCTTCCTGCTCTGGGCCCTTCCTCATGCCAAGGCCCAAAGTGAGGACTGACAGTGCAGCGTTGAGGGAAACATCTCCCTATCTGGTGACTAGGAGAGGAAAGGATAGGAGAGGCTTAATGTATTTAAGTGTTCAAAAAATGGGTAGATGTGGCACTTCAGGTCATG